CGCCCCGCCCCGCACGTCCTCTCCGTGAGCGTACATGATGTGGCTGTGGCGCCGGGCGACAGGGGAGAGTGAGCGCGTTGCCCCGCGGTGCAGACCCCCCCCCTTCCCCTCCGACCGGGCTGAGGTGGAGTGATGATGCATCACTCTGCCAACATTGAGCCTTTCACAATTATTATTTGGATGGCTGCATCGGGTCCGACTGTGCGCCTGGCGCCGCCACCGCGCTCACCCTCTCCGTCATGCTTTGCTAATTAAGTTAAGGTGGGGCTCTGCAAATTTGGTGGGCGCGGTTGTGTCTTTGTGACTGGCGGCTAAATACCGGCCGGGCGATAAGGACGAGGAGGAGCTCGCGCCGCGACAAGTTTGTGATGATAGCGCTCGCGATCGACTGTGATGATGTGATGTTTGTGTGTATCCATCCACGAACCTCGACAAAGCGCCAGCGCAACTGGGCTGCGTCTGGGGTTGAGGGGGGGGGGGATACAAATAATGTGGGGTCCCAAAAGGATAAAGTCCTCCATCGGAATTCACATAAACCCCACGATATTTTGCACCTGGGTAAAAATATCATGGGGTTCCTTTCCTATACCTGTTCCTATACAACTCTAATGGTCATCCGGCGGGGAGGCACGTATTGTCTGAACGGCCCCTGCTGTACCGCCGAGCTCGCACGCTCGCTGCCTACCGCTGTGCAAATAGTGTTCCGCCTGGTTCCGCAGTTGTTCGGGGTGGCGGAGACGCCTGTCTCGCGGCGGCCCAGGCGGAACAGGCGGCCCAGCAATAGCGGGGAGGGGGGGGGAGGCGAGGAGCTGCCGAGAGCAAAAAGGGTAGGTCGCGACGAGTCCCCCGGGGCACTTGTGCGCCGGCGGGAGGCACTCCGCGGGCCTTGCCGAAGGGTGCTCGGGTTCAAAACGGAGGCCACCGGCAAGGTACTACATCATAGCCGCGGGGGTCGTGTCGGGTACCCGTCAGGTACCACACCACAGTAGCACCAGTCAGGATCAAGACCAGAGGGGCTATGGTGCAAGGGGCGTGGCGAGCCCTTGCACGGAGCGGTCAAGCTCTCCCCCCCCCCCCCCAGCACCCTCCGTCTTCCGCACAGCGCCGCGCCTCACGGCCGCCGACGGGGCGAGGACGATAACGTGGATGATGTGTGTATACGGGCCGCGGTGGCGAGCGCGGGTTGTGATTCCAAGAAGCGCGAAGTGGACCGGACGGACCTCCCCCCTCAACTTTCCTGGCCGCCAGGAAAGTGGAGGGGCGCCTGCACTTGCCGCCAGGAAAATGGAGGGGCGCTTCACTTGCCGCCAGGAAAGTGGAGGGGCGCTTCACTTGCCGCCAGGAAAGTAGAGGGGCGCTTCACTTGCCGCCAGGAAAATGGAGGGGGCGGGGCGCGAGGGAAGTGCTCAAGGCCTCCTCCAAGAGAACGACGACGCACGATTGGTCAACCGCGCGAAGACGACTGGGCAGGGGCGGGACAGGAAGTCGAGGTGGAGCAGTGCGGGGGGGGGGGGGGGGCGAATGTACCCGCGGGGACTGCCTTGCTGGCTGCGCCCCAGACCACGGGACGCGAGGTGGTCTACCGAAAGGATAAGCCTCGCCTGCAAACGCAAACGCACAATCTCCGTTCGTGGAGTAAGACCCAGAAGCAACGAAGAGGGGGGGGGGGGCGTCAGGTTTCCCTCTGGTAGAGACAGTCTTAGGGACTGTCCAAAAACCCCAGACTCCCACTTATGGTCAGCAGACAGAAGCTTTATTGGCACGCCCATGCCCCCTTCTCTCTTTTACTGACGCAAATGCTGATTACGAAATTTTCACTTACACTGAACATCGCAGGTATTGACATCACAATATGTAGAAGGGGCAAGTGGCCGAGGACGACGGCGAGCGGGTTGGTTTTGGCCTCCTTATCAGCGGACTTGGCGGTGCACGCAGCAGTGCACGTCAGCGTCGCGAGCCCCGCCAGTTTATTTATAATACTCCTCCGGTTTCAGTGCGTGTTTCACGTGATAAGACACCTTTTTTATTTTTTCTGATCGGCGACACCTGCGCGGCCAAAAACCGCGGACGTCAGTTCTGGTGCAAATTTATTTTGGCACTTGCGCTCTTCAATTCGGGCAGTTTGTTGTGCTGTAAATGGTGTTTCTGCGTCAACGCAGCCGGCTAGGGGGGGGGGGTGTGCTCCTGCAACCAAGACCACCCATGTCTAAAATTGGCAGCTGCTCCAGACCCTCCCAGTTTTCAAAATAATCGCCTGAAAAAGTCACATTTTAGGGACGGTGTCTTTACATTGCCCACGGCGTGAATCCGCGTGAATCATCATTTGTAAAGTCCGCGTTTAGGAACAGTTCGTGCCACGGCGCGGCCAGAAAAAACTTGGCGCTGCAGTCGTCTGCTGTCGTGGCTCGGCGGGGTTCGACGCCAGCGAGTCGAAGCTAAAGCCAGGCGAGGGGACCCCCCATGTCCCGAGCGGAGCTCCCCATTGGTCGCGCTCAAGGCCACTGATGTCACAGCGCTGTGGTGGGGGCAGTTGGTGGGGGGCGGGCTGGCCGGCCGGCGTGCCTGGGGCGGGCTCCTTCCTCGCGGCAGCAAACCAAACGCACTTGCGCCCGTTGAGCCGGCCGGTGCAGATCAGGAGACTTTAGAGACGTCGGTACTTGAGCTAGTGTTCCGTCGCGAGCAGAACAGCGCCATGGAGACGGAGGTTGGTGTCGCAGTGATTGTGCTACAAAGGTTGGAGTGATGCGTGTGGGCGCGCGTGTGTGTCCATGTTTTCACAAACATCCGTGCGAGAGAAAATGTTCGCCCTGGGCATTGCAATATTGGGGGTGTGTTGATGTTGCGGTGTGTTGCTTGTTGCGTCAGCAAGTTCTCAAGCTCGAAAGGCAATAGTCGAAACGGTTAACGGTTCGTCCTGCGGAATCTTTAATGTCGAAGTGGTGGTGTGCATTCTGCATAGTGCGTTCTGCCACAGTGGTGGCTCGCAGTGTCGCGGGCGGGGGTGACTCGCGGTGTGGCGGAGGGAACTGATCGCGGTGTCGCAAAGATCACTCGCGATGTGCTGGGTTGACTCGCGGTGTGTCGTGGCTGATTCGCGGCGTGTCTTTGATGGGTGACTTACGGTGTGGTGGGGGTGGCTCTCGTTGTCGCTGGATCACTCGCGGAGTGTCGAGGGGTTGACTCGCGGTGGTGTGGTAGGGGTGGGGTGACTCGCGGTGTTGTAGGTTTATTGACTCCGGGTGACTCGCGGTGTAGGGGGAGTGTGACTCGCGGTGTGTCGGGGGTGACTTGTGGTGTATCGGGGTGACTCGCGGTGGCCCCATTCCCCATTCTTATAGACAATAACATTGTCGGAGCGGTCGTGCGTTACAGAGCGGGTCCCCAGCAGGAGGCGCAGGGCGCAGGGTATGCAGTCCCGGTTGGAGCCGTGCGGACGGGTTGCATAGTACAGTAGGCGCGGTTTAAGGTCCGGCTGACAGAGGGAGCTGTCGGTTGCCTACGAACAGGGGGTTTGTAGTGCAAATTGTCCACCTTTCAGGCAACTCGCTAGAGACGACCGCGCCTGTAGTACAGCAATGAGTGGAAGTTTATCAGCCTCGTGGAACAAAGTTAAACGTAACTTCAGTTGTACTGGGTGTATGTATCTTTGAATCGCTTTGAATGTGCTCCAGTGTCGCGGGATTCCAAACTCGCTAGGGCTGCAATGGGCTTCAGGAGGCATATGGCGTCTTACGGACAAAGGGTGTACGCAAACCTCATGCAACACTCGAGCGCATTTAAAGATGCACCCGTTCCGGGTACTTCGAGACTACTCAGACTGTACTCCGCGCGCCAAATTTCCCATCACATCTTCCAGTATGGAACACGGTGTTTGTGCAGGTCATGTTTGTCAATTGAACACTTTGCATCATTGTAGTACGGCTTTCTTTAGAACCCCTACAAAGGTGCGACTTTCGCACCTTTGTTTTTGCAGTGCAGCTCTTTAAAAGAGCATATCATGCGCGACATTCCGGTGAAATGTGTGGTGATAGTGAAACAATAATCGAAGATAGATTTTTGCATTGAACCGATTCTGATCAAGGGCGTAGGGCGGGGG